ACCGCATAAATGTTTCAGATATTAGAGAAAGAGAGAGAGAGAGAGAAAATAACAACCAACTAGAAACAACTATATTGAATCACTTCTTTTTTTTGTGAAAATTTTAATGCCGACTCACGAAATGATGGTCTTAAAGATTGAACTCTGGGTTATTCCTTAGAAAAACTATTCAACGGTACTTATTTTATCAATACTCTTGATATCATCTACTGTAAAACGATAATAAAAAAGACTGGTAAACTATAAACAACATTTTCATGTTGGTTTTTTTTAGAGACTAAAAACGTTTAGATCATTTCATTGGTGAAAACAATACTAATCATACACTTGTTTTCTGTTTCAAACAGTCTGCTATATTGTATAAATTGACTGGTCCTCAATTTTCTTGACTTCTATTATCACATTTTTCTCCTTGAATCTGTTTGTATATTCCTCCACAAAACCAACTTAGCATATTACAATATTTAATTAATTAGTATTTTAATTTTTGGGTCAACAAACTTGTGTTAGTTTCGAATTTGAAGTAGTACATTTTTGTAAATAAAAAAAACGGTGGTAAAGTGAACGTCAGGCGGCTATAAATAATATTTGAGTCGTTATAAGTTTGAATTCGTTTAAGTTTTAAAATATCATACATCTCGAATTACCTAACTGATAACTGATTGATTTCCAGATTTTAATGTGTTTGATTTCTATCTACTTTTTAACTATTATCCTTTATCTGTATGATAAGAGTAATTTCATGGTTCTCGACTTCTATTAAAAGTGTAGATGCATTTGTTACTTTCCGGTTTCTTTTGTCGTTTAAGTGTGCTTCTTTTTGAGTTACCCAAAAAGATAATTAAATTAGTAGTGGTCTTAGCGGCGTGATAGTGCCTCTGTGGATTCCAACGGACAGCTGCTTTTGGTCAATCATACACCTCGTTTTTGTGAGTTCTTGATGTTTCTACTAAGTACTTTAAAGACTTTATCTCGGACATCATAAATAAATGTGATAAGGTAGGGTGTGGTATTATTATGGTCGACCTTTTTTCACCCTCTCCTTTTGTAGTCAGAGAATAAAATAGATGTTGGTTGTCTGAAAGGAACAGTTTACTTCTATCATAACTCAGTACAATTCCGCCCTCAGACCTTTAGTGCTACTTTTAGTTTTACCGTTCGCCGTCCTACCTGCCTGTCATGTCAGGATGCAAAGGAGCGAATACTCTAATATAGCTTGACGGGGTCATCCTGATCATCAAGCCAGACCACCACATCCAGGTAGCAGGTATGATTGAAGCAATATGTTTAAGTTGTCTAACATATATATATATGTATATATTTCTTTAGTTAACTAGTTTTCTCTTTCCTGTTATCCTCCTCTACCCCATTGATTCAATTTAATTATCAGTTATTATAGCCAGTCATTACACAAATATCAATTTTGAACATAAATATTTACCTATTGTAGTTTTAAATTACAACGGAAAGGGGTAGAGCGAAGCAAGTGCAAGTTGACGTGGCTACGTGGAATGTAACTGCAGCATTTGCATATATATATGTCAAATAATTAAATGATTTATCAGTCTCATTTTCATTTGTGTATACATACATGTATATGTAGATAAAATGGTCTTTGGACTGATTTTCGCCTGTTCTTTTATCCATAATTACACTTTACTTAAATCATGCGATTTTATATGTTGTTTCAATATCCGGTAATCATTTTTTAGTGAGTGTTGCCTTCATTGTATTGTCATTTGCCTTATAGTTGACACTACATTAAAGTGTGATTTGGCTATTGACAATTGACATTTATTTCTTATCCCTTTTTCTTATGCTAGTCTGTGTTTATCACTAATTTGTTTTAGTTCGATCCACTCTATGATCATGCTCGCGTTCAAAACAAATATAAAGTTTTTCATGTCAAACATCTATTGTTTTTTTGTTTTGTTTTATCTGTACTTGTCTATCCTAAAGCTCAGGTTGTTGGGTTTTTATTAACTAGATTGAAGTCAATCATATATTCGTAATATACTTTCGAAATGTTACTGAATTTTCTACTTGTAAAAGTATAATGCAGGGACAGGGTCGATAGATTGGATTGATTTTAATGTGTTTGTTGATTGACCTGAGTGCCAAGCTTCTAAAAATATTATGGTGTTTTTAGAATTGCCTCTATCGAAGATCTCGACATTTTCCCAGTCGAATGTGTGTCCACAGTCATCCATATGCATTGATATAAGCGAATATTATGTCATGGCGTTTGACGCGTAATTGATGTTCGTGTAGATGAAGATGAAGAGGGCATGTACTTTGTCCGATTTAGTGTTTTTGTAGTTAGAGCAATTTATTTGGTAGATAATGTTCGTTTTTTATTTTGTCATTTTGTCTTTGGCTTGCTTGTAAAATCACGTTGATCAATCCTAACCTCAAATCTCTAATTTTTACCCTGATTACACAATCCTAACTTAAAAACAATGTGAGGACTTTCGAAATCTTTGATAAATGGATAATTGAGATCCCTATAAGAACGTGGTTTTGTTGTCGTTTTCCGATTTAATGACAGGTTAACCTGTGTTGAAGACTTCAATAACCTTATTAAATATGTACACCCCTTTTTACACTTGCTAATATTATTGTTCTCTTTTCCATAAACTATCTACTTAGATTGTTTTGTGATTGACTAAGAACTAGATGAAAATTTGTCATATTTGTTTTAAGTTCATTTTTTATTTTTTATTTAATTGAATAGGTGTTACGTCCTAAATCTAATAATATACAGTAGAGAACTTGTGTCGATCTGGATTAAGGCCTTGACACGATAAGATAACTGGCTTAACCTTAAGGCTAAAACGCGTGGGTCCGAATCGCGACTGTCTTGGGTAGAGAGACGAAAAATATTCTGTCACCTGATTGGTTGACAGGTGAGAGATAAAGAAGTCGAGTCAACTGGAACACTACTCAACTTATTCACAATTCAGATTCAAACTAGTGCAAAAAAGATACATGAATAAATAGATGACTAACATGACCACAACGCACAAACAATTAGAAAAATACAATTATACCCAGACTGGGCATTGGGGTAGGAAAATAGAGTACCGAAGGTTACGTCTAAATTACAATATCTTTGGAACAGAAAAGGGTATGGCAGTGAATCATACATCAAACGAAGGCTTATGGTTTATGGAATTAACTATGAACAAAACTAAGTGTTAGCATTTTACAAACTTTAAATTAAGTGAAATAAACTCCTCAAAAAACAGCTTCCTTTGTTTGCCATAGCTTCTTTGTTTCTCTGTTCACATCAATAGGAGACTTCTATTGTCCCCCAACCGCCTTCACATCGTTTGTTAAACTCCTTTTCCAGTAATAGTCGATTGGTTTCCTAAGACTCAATATCTAAGTATGCTTCTTTTTGGCGAAGTCATTTTTATATCTTTAAATATTTATCCACTAGTTATTTTACCAATATGCGATATTTTTCCCCTATACTTATGGAACCGTTCATTTATCTACATATTTTTGTTCTCGTTTTTAACCTTTCATGAAAGATGTATGTTTCGTTTCAGTTGTTAGAGTCATCAATGAACAGAAACGTTTCAAGGTATAATTTCAGTACTACTACTATGCTTTCATCAAATTCGCTGTTTTTTCTTCCCCTTTACTCATAAGCAATGCAGAATCTGGCATGCATGCTTATTGCCATATCATATCAGTACAGTCAAGACGAATCCCATAGTAGTAGCAGTATTAAGAGTATCAGTTGGAGTAGAAAAAATTAAGTATAGACAATATAACTTGACAAGAAAGTTCATTGAATAGGAAAATATGAGATAATTTTTAAATTCAAAACAAGTACATCTGGAACATTCTGACCGTTCCTAATATAAACAAAAAAATCCCAGAATCAATATTAAATAATTTTATAGTAATTGGATTTAGATAGCCCAACAGTATCCTGGTTAGTTACATCCCAGTTACAGTAGTTCAAATAAATCCAATAGACAGTACAACAGCAAACTTTCACGTTGTGTGAAAACAGCGGGAATTTATAAATATTAACTTTTATAAAAGTTATTTTATGTATTCTATATGTTACAACTGTTGTATTTTGAGGCTTAATATGTTGATAATTCTATAGTAGTCGGTTTACTGAAATCAAGTTGCATAACCATGATAAGGCAACAGTTGAAACTGTGTGGTTTACATGGTTTATATATATATATATATATATATATATATAATTATTATTACTATTATTATTATTATTATTATTATTAACCGTTTTCTGTTTAACCTAGTAACGTTTGTTTTTCTCCTTACAGTAAATAAACAAAATAGTTTTCAATGTTTACAATAAAATAATATTCGTTTTTATTCATTATTACAATATTTATAATATCTAGTATGAATAGTAAACACTGTAATACTATCTTAATAAATTGGTATAAATATCACGTTCTCAATCGTTAACAGTATAGTCTCTAAGGTTTTATTTTTCAATCAGTAAATCAATTTATGTATACACATTGTTCCACACACCTAGTTTTAGGTGTTAGCCTTACATAAGAATGAAAAGAAACTCAAAATCAACCATATTTTATTCTCATTCTGATCAATTTATGTTGCGTAATATATGTTGTCTTTTAAATTAACTTGATATAATTGATATATTTATATATTACTACTCTATTACGGGATGATATTTAAAAAAAATTAGAGTATGTTAACGTATTTGGTTTCATTTGTAGTTTTTCCTCTCAAAAAATAACTTTCTTCAAGACTGCTCAGTTTACGTTTCTATCACTTTTTTATATTTGATCTTTCGAAGTAGATGTTCTTTGTTTCATAAATGATAGATAATTAGTGAAGTATTGTTTAGTTGTATGTAGAAGAACTATCCCTGACTTGATGGGATCATTTAATGTTTCTTCACACGCATGGTTTATTGGTTACATAATCATTGTGTGTTTCATAAAACTCTGCTTTCTAACTAAATGTTTACTGCAATTTAGGATTCGAATGCTACAACTGGCGTTATTTCTACACCAAGTAATAACACTTCGACATCAACAACAGTTAGTAACTCAAATAATGATCTACCAACTCCTAGTTCTCCTGTTCGTTCACATTCTGTCATAACAAACGCGTTTCAAGGTCAGAATTCTTCCACAAATACTAGTTCATCCATTGTACCTGGTTATGCTACATTGTAAGTAATGTGAGAGGTATTATTATACGTTATTTCTTTTTTAAGTGGTTATATTTTTGTACATTTTGTTACTAGATAATTTAAAATAATCTTAACATATGTCTGGTCGCCTTGGTTTTTATTAAGTCAATAAATATTTGTCGACAAAGATACTAAAAACCTAAAAAGAAATCTGAAAACTTTTTAGCCAATCATCATCGAATAAATACTTTTCATAAACATCTAGAAAACTGAAGGATTAAGTGTCACAATTTATTTGGTTGATTACTCGTGGTTTTCATATATGTGGTATGTTTTCAGAAGTTTCTAGCATACCAAGGTCATCCGTGAACCTATGAATGATCCCGTTTTTCTAAACATAGATTAAACTTAGAATATACTTTTTAATTATATTACATGCCTTTTCTTTGTTTGGTTTAGTTTTTCTAGTTTAGAAGTAAACCGGAAATATAGGAAATGTCTAGGACGTCATTAACTAGCGTCCAAATAAGAAAATTTATCAAATTTATTCACAGTTAAGATGTTTTCTCCTCTCTACTCATTTCAATGTTCCCCAATAAAAGTTGAGTCGGAAGGCAGTGAAAATAAAACTTAGAATTTTCTTTATTTATCATAAACTTAACACGCAAATTGGTGAGTAGCGCTTCGTTGGTCATGACGATATTGGACTTATAACCTCATACAAATTCAATTGAATTTGCCACACCACATTAACACAACTAAATAAGATTAATAAGGTAAATGCCAGAGTAGTAAAAGCAGAAATGGTATGGTATCAGCAGCTGTCAAAACGTCTAGACATAAGAGTTATAGTATGGGGATAAAATATTAGTTCGTGGAATAAAAGCAATTATAAGATAGTTTAAAAACTTAGGATCTAAGGGAAAACAAAATGTGAATGCACCTTGTATATTGCGAATGGTTCTGAGCTGTGTCACCCGAAGTATCCAGCTACTGATCATGATTATCGCATGAACAGTAACCAAGTGATCTGCAAATTTTAATAGCAACATTTACAATTACTCTACTTGAGTGATTTGATTTCAACTCTTGAAATGACATAAATTTCAAGTGGATTTATAAGACATTGTCTTCTGATAGTGAAGATTTGTAACTTGTTGGTAGTGTTGCTTTTTGTGAATTGAATGATTCACTTATTATCACATAGTAATAAAATTAATTAGATTAAGGGGATTTCCAAAATTTTGAATTAAGGAAATTTTAAACACCAGAGAATTTATAAAAATATCTTGACTTATCTGGAATCAGTAGGTTCATCAATATAAATCCAATATATCCAATCATACAGAATAATAGTTCAGTCGATCATAATATATTCAGTGGTGGTTAATCGTATAAAACAGTCAACAAGAACACAGAAGTGTATCAAAACAACCATACATGCGATAACAATTCACCAATAAATTTATGTAATCAAAATTATATGTTGCACTTGTAAAATAATTTTGAAATTACTTTAAGTGTAGATGACAATGTTGTTCAGAATGACAATAGAAATTCGATAATTATATTAATGCTGACTAGTTTTGGAGACTGATGGCAGAAAGTTAGAAGCGGTCAAACCGAAACGTGGCATTAATCTTTGAAGTCACACACTTCTGGTCTGAGCCATGTTGGTAGATGCAGACTAATTGGTTTGCGTCCTCGTGACTATCGTAACCAATCTTTAAAGACTTTGTATGACATGACTCAGATTCGATCACAAAGATGTAGGTGTAAACACTCTTCGTTTTCCCTTAAAGCGTGAAATTACTTCATACCTTTTTTTCTACGAACTAATTCTTTCTTCCTGTAATATATTCTTATACAGAATCTTTCTTTTATATTTTGCTACCATTGAAATAACTACGTCTATGGATTTGATGTTGATCTTGTTGTGCTAATGAGGTATGGCAACATTGACTAGTGCATATATGTACCTGGTTCTAAGTTGTAGCAAACTGACTGATAGTCATTTCAGGAAGCACAATATTACTCAACTCTTATTGCTGACAATTACTAGTTTTTGTACAAAATATTCTTAAAAAGTCAACAATTGTATTATACATATATTGTGTTTATTCAAATACCTGTTTGTTTGAAATAAAAGTATAAATTTTCATCTTCACACACCAGTTTTGTTTCAGATAAATTATTATTATTATACATTTACTATATCTAGACGAAAAGTTTCCAGTCCATCTTTGGATTCAACAACAATTAATTCTCTATCCAACTCTTGTTCAACTAATAATTCCAATAGTGGGAGTACAACAGTAAATCGAGCTGATTTAGAAGCATTTAAACGTGAATTAATATCGGAATTTCGTCGAGAAGTTCAACAATTAAAAAATGACGTAATCGAAGGTGATCTTGACTTTTTTTTAGTGATGTATAGGTTACATTTAATACTATTTGAGAATATGTATTTTTGATTGATTAATATCTTTGATAGAAATGCTTTACCATTAAGTACAATATCAAGTTAGTGTACATAAAGTTTGCCGAGTTATTTACTCAAATATCATTCACTAGTCTTCATCACTGATACATATGATAACGCTAATTTTATACACCTTGTCAATAGTGAGTTGTAGAGGTAATCATCAAAAAGAATCCGTGACTAATTTAGTTCCGATATATCGGGTTATGAGACAATTATCAAACACAAGTAATGCAAGAAGATCACGCAGTATCGCCAAATGGTTGAAATCAAAACATGGGTCGTGGCTAAATCACCAGCACGAGGGTCTGGAGTTTGATCTCCTTTGAAGTCGTGGATGTGCACTGTTCAGAGGAAATTACTGTACAATGCTTTCCGGTTTTCAATAATGGTCTAAATAAGATCAATGTGTGACATATTCCATGAAAATTCCCTATACGTTAAAATTGTACATAATTGCCATTCATCTGATCATTGGTTTTACGTATTTCTATTCCCTTTTCGTTTTTCTTTTAGCCCTTCGTGCATCTTCTGTTCGAAATTGTTAGTTGAACTATAATGAACCACTGATTGATGGTCATCTTCAACATCTTCATCGATTAAATGAAATGTTTGTTCGCTTACCTTACTTCTTTCTCTTGTTGTTTCCTTTTCTACATTTTGACTGTCCTTTCTCCATATTTGATCAGAGAATAAAGAATATTATTAATACAAATAAACAATGCTCACCTAACATTCCATAATGTTGATAATAAATAGTCTGTTGAAATTGTTCTTTGGTGTAAATCACCTTTATGTACTGTTTATTTATATGGACACATTATATTATTATTATTTGTATCAGTCAACATATTGTGCTTCTGCTAAAACGTCATTTTGGTAATGATAGACAAAGTTGATTTGGTATTGTTGTTGTCCTGATTTCTGGGCTACGTACATTTGTGTGTGTGTGTGTGTGTGTGTAAGTTTGTGAGTATATCTGTTCATCTTCCTTACATACAAACGACGCACTACCCCTATTGGTACAATTTACTCTGATATATGCATTTTATTGTTATCCTGTAGTTGTCGCTCTCGTTTTTTTTCCATTTCTTATTGTATAATGCAGAGTTGTTTGCTTAACTTTTCTCTGTTTCTGTTGATTCCACTTAATAATGGTATGTTTTCTACGATGCTAATAATGATTATAACAACATTTTAAGAGAGGAACTGTTAAGATAGTTAAGAATTATTCATTTAAAAACCTGATTTATACTTTGTTTGTTCTTTATCTGACTTCATTTAAGTCAATGTTTACATTTTATTCTCTATCCATTTGTCAATTTAATTCTTTTATTATAAAAGCTGCCTAAACTCGTATATATTGTTGTTTTGTGATCTATGCACACACTAACCTCCAGTCACATTTTGTGTATTTTCACTTACTAGGTTTTTATCATTTGTAATGTAATTAAGTAAATCAGTACTTTTTATAAATGTTTCTATGTATAAATCTGCACTTGGTATGTGCACATGTGCTTTTGTAATGTTTCCGTTTGAATGAGACAACAGATGAAATATTTTTGCTGAGTTCTTCTTTCATTTTGTTATTGGCTTCTCTCTCTTTTTGTTTATGGTATTTCAGATAGTTGGATAATAGACAATAAACTGCTCATTTCATTATATTTACTTCAAACTAGAAGCATTTCATTTATCTCTCTTATTCTCTATGCATCATTTGTAGTGATTATTATCTTTAAGATTGTTGAAGACCGGTTTACAGATATACAGTATAGTATTAACTGCCATCATAGTCAATGCTTATCATCATTATTATATTTAATACTTTTCGTAAAACAAAAAACATTGCGTTTATTACAGCTTACGATTGTTAATTTGTTACGAAAACTGAATACTTTTTTTTCTAGGTTCTTCCTATCATCATAAATTATCCATTTGATATACGATTTAGTGTGTTTTTGTGTGTGTGTGTGTGTATGTGAATTATTTATTCTAAAACTTTATCATAATAACATCGTTATAATTACCATAGTTCACTACAGTGTCCCATGTTCTTGCTTTTTCTTTTTGATGAGTAGCTCCCAACTCTTTCTTTTCTTCTTCTTAATATCTTGTTTCTTTTCTGGATATTATTATTTTCTATAAAAGTAAAACTATATTGCATTTCATTACAATTTTATGGCGTAACCACATATTCTGATGAGATTTCTCTTTATCTCTATTAAAATGTGTAGAACTCTTTGTTACTGATCATTGTTGCTAACATCGGTATTATTTTATCGTTTACTACTTCATATATATATCATTATTCTACTGGTGGATTTTCATTGTTTTTTTTTTAAAAAAAAAACTATATTCCTAACATCATATAGAATGATACTTCAACTCGTGTTCTTTTTTTGTTCTAATTTCATTTGAATAAACGGAATTGTAACAACAGAACTCATTGTGCTGTTTAAAAGGATTTTAACTGAAGAAAATTGGAAGACGATGACTAGTAAATGTATTTGTTCACAGTAAAACAAGTTCATATTATGATTACTCCTTCTTATATGTAGTTCCTCGATAAATACATGATAGTATTTCATAGACTCAATGGTCTATATTTCATCAAAGTATGGATTGTGTTTTATCAATTATATCATGAATTTACCTGTCTTAAAGATTTCATTGATTCAGTCAGTCAGTCAGTAACAACGTAGAACTTCGTACGTACGTACATCAGTTCGAGTTGCCACACCACATTAGCACAGAGATGCAGTTGTTGATTCAATTCCCGTAGTGGTAGAGGTAATAAGAGTATAAGCAGTAATCGGGAAGATTAGGGTTTGGAGATGTTATTTAAAGATTGATTATTCAAACATAAATCTGTCCGATTTACTTTATGTACAGTAGGATGATAATTATAATTTCCATTAGTAAAAACGTAATCAACTTCGACGTCTCACAACTTTCACGCTACCCTATGGAGTTCAGCCGGTATAAATCATGCAATGATGTTTCACTGAACAGCTTTAGTGTTGTCTACACACATTTGTTCAACTTCAGAGAGCGTTCATTTTATGAACCTACATTTGCCTTAAACTGAACAAAGAGTGTAGTAACTTAAATACTAACATATCCACGGAGGTTTTTTCGTAGATAGTGTTATAACCCTGGAAGGTGATTTTTGATAAGTGAACACTTCAATTCACATGACATAGAAGAAGACAAAGATCAATGTCATGAGGATTTTATACACCCTCCAAAAAATAGGACAAATGATTTAACCAAGTACCTCCATTTATATACTGATTTTACTGACATTTTAATTACTAGGTAACCAATTTGAGCGGACCATCATGAATTCATTTTATTTCGTTTCGTTCTAATCAGCTAATTACAACCTCTGACATTTAAAAATCACTATTACAAAATGAGTTCACAATGCGTACATAAAGAAATTTAGTTGAAAGTTGCTATGATCACGCAGTGTACCATATTAAGGATGTAAATAATTTAGACTAAAATATTGTAGATATTTATGTTATAACGGTTGGGTTTTCCACGTTTACGTGGACGTAAATTTACCTTAGATGAATATCTACACCAGATTCCCTCCCAGTGTCTATTCTACAGGACTTCATCACTACTCAGATGAAGAACGTGATTAGCCTGATCAGAACGTAAATACATTTCCACACCAAAACCCAAGACAATCCAACAACAATGAGCAATAGATAATAATAATTTCAAGGATAGGGGAACATATAACTCATCTGACACCTGTCAGACTATCTATATGTCTGACTAAGCAAACAACCAATCATTATCATCCTCGCCCACACATCAATAAATCTTATATTTAAGAACGTTACGCAACACCGATGATAACAAAAGAGCCAGAAACAACGAGTTACGTTACGTAACAGATAAACCCTGATAATAAGAATGAATAAAATCAGCCAGTTAAAATCTGATTGCTAATCTAGAAGACAGTGCAAATGAAAAGACGTAATAATTTGGTCGTTTAAAAGAATGATTTGAACAAAATTCTTCACGAGAATAAAAGGAGCTGTGTATGAAATACCTCATGTTCGAAATACGGGAAACGTATGGCGAGATTTACATTGAATTAGTGTAAAATCCGTGCTGCATTTTATACTGATCGAAATCCATACCAAATTACTCTGAAGAATACTACATTACACAAATGTCACTCTTATGTTAAATGAATGTTATGCCAGATAATTATGACGCTGAATTAAACCGTAGTCACGTGGTTGTACCCCGTTTTTAAAAATCGGTTTTCTATCGACCACTATAATACTGCCCATGATAGATAAGTAGTTTAATCTTTACGGAAATAATATACCAAATTCAAGTTCTTTAATAAGAAGGTCTCATATGTCGCTATGCATTGTTAATTTGTTATCGGCACAACATCTTTTATAGTTGTAACCATATTCTGTTAAATTGTAAGAGGAACCTTTGACACATAGCAAGATTCCTTGTAAAAAAAGCTAGAGAACTGTTGAACACGAAGTAACACTGTATATCTGTTCAATTCTGTTTTGGAATTCATCTGCTATCTAGATAAGCTATCCATCAGGACTGAACCCAGCGTAAAACATAACACCTATCTAGTCAACTATGCTATGAGTGAAATAATAACCACAACATACCATAAGTTGTCTGAAGTTGGTCAGTGATGCTGTCCATAATTGTCTAAAACCACCATGATCATTACAGGACTTAATGAAATCGACCTCAATCCCACATAGCTATATATGTTGGCGCTTATTTTTTTAAGAGTCCTGAATCAGTATGTTAAATTCTTTCTGATTTTTTGTAACTCTCAATCTAATATCATTTCGTATGAAAAGTTATTTTCAATTCATTACCTATTCATCATATAGTTGATTAACGATTCACATGACTTTCAATGGTATTTTGTCTAACTTTTCTACACTGTTATTCATTTATTCATTCTGTTGTGCTTTTTTTTCGCGGAAAACATATCTACTTAAAAATGAACGAACAAAAATGTTTCTAGACTTATTTCCTTATCTGATTATTTCAGCATGGTAAAACAAAAAAAAACAAATCCAAAGTTTGAAATGTCATTTTTCCCAATATAAACAAGTATTTTGATAAGCATTAAATTAAGCTTAAATACCTTGTTGTTGGTTGGTTTGGTTTGGTTAAAAAAAAACTTGAAAATTAGGTTTAATTTAGTGATACTTTAAAGAATACGATAATGTTAGTTTCTAAGTTACTTCATTGTAACCAATCTGTCAGACATTTTGATTAATAATCAAGTTGATGTCAGTTTCTTGTTTGTTTGTTTTTTTTTTCTAAAAAAGAAATGTCATCTAACGTTGAAATAAAACGGGAAGAGTTCGTCCATTAGTTAGTGTAATTATCTACATTTAGCTACAGGCTTTTTATTCGTATGATGGTTAAATATTATACTCTGTCATTTAAGTGAAATTTAAATGCAGTTAATCGACTGATAATAAATGATAAGAAGTTCAATATTAAGAACATGTGTACAATCACAAATATAATAAATATTATAGTCACATAACATACCAGGGTAAAAACAATAAGACAAAAGTTGATGACCTGCTTGAACATTTGGCCTACATGTTCCTGCTATGTAGATATTTCAACAAGTTATCTATTTTTATGCATTTCTGAAAAGTGTAAAACTTTTCGTTGTACAAGTTACAAAAGTCGCAATTAGAGATATCGTGGTTGCTGGAAATATGCAGCTAAAAGAATGTACATTATTTCGTTGGACTTGACGGTTAACATCTAATTGGTGATCACTCAATATTTATCGTCAGTATCGACCAAGAAGTAAGAAACGGAAACTTGTTGAAATACTTTGTGCTGAGAATTCTGTATTGTACTAAAAATATAATACTGAATAAAGCTAATAATAATAATAATAATAATAAAAAGTGCTGGCGCACGAGACTGATATGTCCTGGGTTCGAATCTGGCGAGGCGGAATGGTGGATGTACACTGCTGAGGAGCTCAACTCTAGGACGAAACGGACGTCTAGTGCTTCCAGGTCTTCCATATTGGTCTAGCTTTAATTGACTCATGGTCTCAACTATTGAAATAGATTGAAAGGAATATATTTCTTCGCTCTAATTGTATTTCTTTCTAAATATCTAAATATGGATTTTCGACTTACGAAATGCAAATATCAATCTGGTATTATAATACAGCAGTAGCTTAATGATTGAACTTCACTTCTGACTAGTGAATCATAAGTTCAAACCCCACCCAATTTCGGTTAGGATAACCAAGATAGTATCACTAATCCTTGTAAACAATATGGCTCAAAATTGAATACATAAACTCGTATTTAGTAAATCATTTAGTTTAGTTCATTAATACTATGAGTTTTATAGCTTATTCAATATATGTAGGTTTAGTCATTTAGAACCTTATTTTGACACAATGCTTTTTCAGTCTCTCTCTCTCTCTCTCTCTCTCTCTCTATATATATATATATATATATATATATATATATATATATATTCCATAAACCAAGGCTATCTGAACACAATCGGCCTAGTAACCAATTTGTTAACCTTAGGTAAATGTTATTTCCATTAAAACTTCTGAAATATTCTTTCCATTAAAATCATGATAAATTGATAGTATTTAATGTGTATTGTTTGTGTATACTGTAAATTAACATTTTCTTTTTATGGAAAGTATTTGATATTAGAAATGGTCAGAAAAAATAATGTTTTACTCAATTTATCATTAATAAATTAAAATAAACAAATAAAATCAGTTCAAGAATCCGCTTTTCTAAATTTTTGTTTAAATATTAACACTTTCTGTATTTCATCACTGATAGTCCACTAACTAATCAATAAGTTAAATCTTGTATGATGTTGAGATTATTGACGGTGTTCATCAGTAATAAAGTATTTTTTTACAGTTACTGGATTATAATCAGAGAGGGGTATTATGTATATTATAGTAGTTTAATAGTTGAACTCAGTGGAGTTCAACTGAGTCTGTTGTGAGATAGTAACACACTGAACAAAATGGTAGACGGTGGCATAATTTCGTGGATTGGTTGAAGTTAGACATCAACACAATTGGATGCCGGCTCAGAGGTCTAGAGGTTAAGCGTTCGCGCATGAGACCTATAGATCCTGGGTTCGAGTCTCACGTTGCGGGATCGTGGATGAGCACTGCTGAACGGCCATCCAGTGCTTCCAGGTTTTCCATGATGGTCTACATTCAATTGAATCATGAATTCAACTATTAAGTTACTGTATTAGTTTATTTTCTCCAATGTATGTTCAACCAGTTGCCTGTTTGTTTTTGATTTACAAATCAATATTGGAAATTAGAAATCATTATTAATGATGTGTATGTAATTCTTTATGTTTGTGTTTACTGTAAAACAGTAAAGTTAACCTTTAAAAAAAGAGTTAATTTGTCTAAATTTCATGTCATTATTAAACAATTAAAACATTTAAAAGTTAATTATCGTATATTTTGTAGATGGATACAAGGTTAATGGTGTAAATGTGATTGAAAATTTTGTTAAGTAGAAGTTTTTAAAGTCTAAATATTTATATGTTTAAAGCAATTAACCTGGTTTATTAATTCCGATAGAGCAATTAGAAGATTTAGTTG